GCCCGTGCTACATGAACACTTCGTTCTGAGTAGCTAAATGGGTGGCTTCATCTTCATCTTAACACATTCACAAGGGAGACATCTCCCGTCACGCAGGGTGCATTCGCACCTCCACAGATCTCCAGTATCAGCTCTTGATACTGGAAATGGCTCAAAAGGGCCACCACTTACGGGCTATTCATGCCCGTGCCACCTTTTGGGTGGCTTAATCTTTATCATCATCAGTAGCTAAATCTGAAACCACCACCACCTCATCTCATCACAATAGACTTGAGAATGGTCCAGGACGGACCGAAACGTCGTCATCTCTTCAATTTCTAATGTGTGGTCTGGTCAACAAGTCGTACCATGGCCGGTGTGCAGTATTGTCAGTTCTGTGACGCCTCAACCATTCCTGGCATGAGTATCCTTGAAGTTACCTTGAGGTGCTTCCGGGGCTTAGCGTCCCCGCGGCCCGGTCGTCGACCAGGTCTCTACATAATTCAGGAATTAATTTTGTTGCCCGGTATTGAACTTTCTCCAAAGTCGATATATATTTCTGAAGATGGTCTTCATGCTAGGAATTTATGAGCAAGACTCGTGGTATAGTCTCTTGAGACAATCGACTTGAGAATGGTCCAGGACGGACCGAAACGTCGTCGTCCCTTCACCTTCTAGTGTGTGGTCTGGTCAACATATTTCAGCCACGTTATTGTGACTCATCGCCTGCATAGTCTCTTGAGACAGTCGACTTGAGAATGGTCCAGGACGGACCGAAACGTCGTCGTCCCTTCACCTTCTTGTGTGTGGTCTGGTGAACATACTTCAGCCACGTTATTGTGACTCATCGCCTGCATAGTCTCTTGAGACAGTCGACTTGAGAATGGTCCAGGACGGAGCGAAACGTCGTCGTCCCTTCACCTTCTAGTGTGTGGTCACACAATCGACTTGAGAATGGTCCAGGACGGACCGAAACGTCGTCGTCCCTTCACCTTCTAGTGTGTGGTTTGGTCAACATATTTCAGCCACGTTATTGTGACTCATCGCCTGCATAGTCTCTTGAGACAGTCGACTTGAGAATGGTCCAGGAAGGACCGAAACGTCGTCGTCCCTTCACCTTCTAGTGTGTGGTCTGGTGAACATACTTCAGCCACGTTATTGTGACTCCTCGCCTGCATAGTCTCGCCAATTCTCAGCCCGTCCTCATAAACAAAGGCCAAAGTCCATTGGACTCGTTTTGGACCCGATACACTCGTGTATCGGGTCATAAATGTATATTGTGTACAAGAGTGACTGACACACTGCCTTGGCAATATGTAGCTTGAAAGGTGCCTCGAAGTGTGTACTGAGGTTACTTGACACCCGCTACAGCACTGTCCACATGACATTGCACACTTGTCAGTGACTACATGACACTTCCCTTTGTCACCATCGTAACCGGCGGTGGGAAACGGCTCTGGCGAGGTTGCGTATTGGCCATACTCACTTAACCCACGGTCACTTGATGGAGCGTCGCCCTGCTCCTTATTGTCCTAGTTGCATTGTCCCTCTTACGGTCGTGCATGTCCTTCTTGAATGTCCTGACTTCCAGGACGAGCGTGTGTCTTGCTTTCCGACCGCCCCTCGCGCGGAGACATCTCCCGTCACGCAGGGTGCAGTCGCACCTCCACAGATCTCCAGTATCGGCTCTTGATACTGGTAATGGCTCAAAAGGGCCACCATTTACGGGCTCTTCATGCCCGTGCCACCTTTTGGGTGGCTTAATCTTTATCAATCAATCAATCGTCCCTCGCGGTCACTTGTCCCTCGATAGAATTCTTGGTGACTCGGATACTTTTGATATCGTTCGCCTTATGCGTTTTTTGTTCTGGTATTGGCATCCTTGGTGATATTTAGCGCCCTCTGGTTATCCCGCACATTTGATGGTGCTACACAGCCTTCCCGGTTTGGTGCCTTCTTTGGATAATTACTTACTTCACCTTGACAGTGAGTGTCATGTCACAGGGATCTATCTTGTCATGTTAAAAACCCTTAATCATCCTACAGAATGATGTAAGTTCTTCTTTTCTGCCTTCTCTGCCCCCCCCACATGACACCACCCCACATGACACCACCCCACATGACACCACCCCATATGACACCACCCCACATGACACCCCCCCACATGACACCACCCCACATGACACCCCCCCACATGACACCACCCCACATGACACCACCCCACATGACACCACCCCACATGACACCACCCCACATGACACCACCCCACATGACACCACCCCACATGACACCACCCCACATGACACCCCCCACATGACACCACCCCACATGACACCACCCCACATGACACCACCCCACATGACACCACCCCACATGACACCCCCCCACATGACACCACCCCACATGACACCACCCCACATGACACCACCCCACATGACACCACCCCACATGACACCACCCCACATGACACCACCCCCACATGACACCACCCCCACATGACACCACCCCACATGACACCACCCCACAAGACACCCCCCCACATGACACCACCCCACATGACACCCCCCCCCCCCACATGACACCACCCCCACATGACACCACCCCACATGACACCACCCCACATGACACCACCCCACATCAGTGCCATGTGGCACGCCCCACCATGAAGTCTACATCTAAAGTTCAGTTCCTGGAGGTTACTCCTTTAGTCCACATTCAGGGTTTAAAACCATCCTCACCTTGCCTGTACATATTAAACCTTCATTAACCACTTTGGTAAATCACCTTCTTATACAGTCTCTCATCTAATTTCTAAGTCTACCTTCGTCAATTCCTACACTATTGGCCAACACAGTCTTCAACTGTGTCTAGACAATTTTCCAGCACAATCTTGACCAATTTCCAACACAAATTTCACCAGTTCCTTCGCCAATTTTCAGTCCAGGTTTTAATAATCATTAAATTTGTTTTCACCCAAGTTTTCACAACCAATCTACAAGGTGAAATACCCAGGTCTACCCATCGGGATTATTGGTTCTATGTCTACTAGCAGTCTGTTTCACCCATTCTTAATGGGTGAGACAGTAGCTACTACCCATACCCAGTAGCTACGGCTACTACCCATTCTTAATGGGTAGTAGCCGTAATGGTCGTGTAAGTTCAATTTCCTGGTCTTGTATATCCACTTGGCTCTGTAAAGCTGTCAAGCCATGTGACACAGTACTCAGTTTGTTTACACCACTGCTGGGGAAGCCATCTTGAGACATTGAGCTAAGACGCTGGCTTGCTACTTCCCAACAACTGAAGTAAATGTAGTGTGAAAAGTTGCGTCACTTCCCACGATGATATGATGAGTTATCTCATCCATTTTACGTTGCTAACTTCTCTCGTAGCCCAGTTGAGGTGTATGTACGCCTGGTTGATGAGTTACTCCAGTGGTAACTGTGTGATGATTTCGGGCTCGACATCCCAGCGGCCCGGTCGTCGACCAGGCCTCCTTGCAGTGAGTTTGAGTTATGCCATATCTATATAGGCCTTTCTTGGTTTCTGGTTCGCAGCTGTCATTCTCCTTGCTCAACTGGAGCCAGATTCACGAAGCAGTTTACGCAAACACTTACGAACCTGTCCATCTTTTCTCAATCTTTGGCAGCTTTGTTTACAGTTATTAAACAGTTAATGAGCTCGGAAGCACCAGGAGGCTGTTTATAACAATAACAACAGTTGATTGGCAAGTTTTCATGCTTGTAAACTGTTTAATAAATGTAACCAAAGCCGTCAAAGATTGAGGAAAGATGTACACGTTCGTAAGTGCTTGCGTAACTGCTTCGTGAATCTGGCCCCAGGTTCGTAAGTGCTTGCGTAACACTGCTTCGTGAATCTGGCCCCAGGTTCGTAAGTGCTTGCGTAACACTGCTTCGTGAATCTGGCCCCAGTCCATTGGATTCCATTGGCCAGATTCACGAAGATTCTGTGCTCTTACCCATATCATAGTGCACCTGTGTGTGTGTGTGTGTTGTGGGCCTCCCCGTATCCCCCCACCTCTGCTTGACGTGTTAACAACGCTCTACAGTGAAAATAATGTGCCTGTTGTGGTAGCAGCACAGTGCACAAGGCCTGTAGAAACCTTAGGAAGCTGTAGGGATGCATGCAGCACCTCGTGTCACTAGTAGACTTAGCCCTAGATTAAGGTATTAACACTCTCTATACAGACAATCCTCATCAAGTAAACATGATGCAATAAAATTTTTATCCCTGCTTTATATAAATCAAAATAGCTAAATATTTTTTGGTAGCGTAACCCTGCATGGCTTTTGGTGGTAGATGTGAGATCAGTAGCCGGCCCCGAGTACGTGCCAGGAGCAGTAGCCGGCCTCGAGTACGTGCCGGGAGCATTAGCCGGCCTCGAGTACGTGCCGGGAGCATTAGCCGGCCCCGAGTACGTTCCGGGAACAGCCTCCAACCTTACCAGTTTGCAGGTGAAGACACTAAGCCTGTCAGGGCTGCCCAACACTCGGCCAGGCGCCCCGTTGCTCCTCCTACAGAAGACTTTTGTCTCAGTTTACAAATACTTGCAGACACTTAAACCTGTGGTGAGCCAGCCCACATTAAGGCACCGGAGGAGAGGCTTTGTCTCCTGTGTAAATTACCTCACTCCCAAAGGCGTGTTCTCTTGGTCATAGAACAAAATGGGTTATTTGCTAATAGCAGACTTTTCAAAGCTATGAGATCGGTGGTTCGATTAGAATAATCAGATTATCATCTGATTAACGTGTCTATTAGAATGTCACGCTAACTTGTGAGGATAGATTAGGATATGTTGAGGCCCATGAGGTGGGATTGCAAGTCGAGGTGGAGCATGTTAGGGGAAGGGGGGCGCGTCGCCCCACCCCCCGGGCTGTGGGGATGTAAACAAAGCCATGCAGGGTACTCGCAGCACCTGAGGAAAGGTACCACCGGTGACCGCGGTACCCCACCACTACCTCCAGCAGGCACTAACCGTGACTCAGGACTCTCCCTTCCAGTCTCTGTCAACGAACTCCAGAAGAAGTTGGAGGAGGAGGTGGACCGCAGAAGGGAGAAATGGGAGGAGGAGCAGGGAAGACACATCTCGGGGGAGGAGGCTCTTATGGCGTCAACCAGGAAGAACCTCGTCCAACAAGAAGGGGAGGGTAAGTGTCCAGTGTCCAGACAGCTCTTAAAACTTAGAGTTAGTCCTCAGCCAGATAGATCTCTTACACTTAGTTGACGGGTAGTTCTGGCACTCTTATATGTAGTAGAGGGCGAGTGCCATGTAGAGCAGCTCTTGCACCTCCTTACTAGAGGACCCTGGCGGGGAAAACTTCACTCGAGTTATTGGTGTATGTTGGAGGAGGATGTGTGGAGGAGCAGCCGCCGCGGAGATATGTGAAGTGCTCGATCTTGACCACACCTTGAGAATAGCTCTCTTGCAGGCGATGAGTCACAATAACGTGGCTGAAGTATGTTGACCAGACCACACACTAGAAGGTGAAGGGACGACGACGTTTCGGTCCGTCCTGGACCATTCTCAAGTCGATTGTCGACTTGACACAATCGACTTGAGAATGGTCCAGGACGGACCGAAACGTCGTCCACACACTAGAAGGTGAAGGGACGACGACGTTTCGGTCCGTCCTGGACCATTCTCAAGTCGATTGTCGACTTGACACAATCGACTTGAGAATGGTCCAGGACGGACCGAAACGTCGTCGTCCCTTCACCTTCTAGTGTATATTCTGGTCAACGATAGCTCTCTTAACATCAAATGTATTATAATCTTACTAAAAACCTACACTATTATACAAAACATGAAATACGTTACTATTCATTGATACGTATTTTTTCAGTACAATACTTGATTAGTTATCGGATATGGCTGGAATATTTTCACAGGTGTAGAACTAGCGACCTGTGATGTAAACATTGGGCTGAACTATGAATGCCGCCACATCAATCTATTCTAAAACAGCATTCGAGCGAACTAATGGAACATAAGTTAGCTAAAGAGTAGCATATCTCAGCACGGGAAACTGTCCTAAGGTGCTGCATAGTGTCCTTGGCACCTTTTGATAATTGTTCATAGAGGTTCTTGTATAAAAACCTGCAACCCCGAATGTTCTAAATACAAATCTGAGGGATTTGTTGTCAATAAAGACTAACTCGGGAGAGAAGCAGGATTTGCATGCTGCATCTCTCTGTATATAAACCTTAGAGTTTATTTCTGTCTTGAACAGTGTTTAGACCTAAAGTACAGTTAACTTGTGGTGGCCTTAATAACCCTCCAGTAGGTGACAGGCCGAGCTTAAACCCGACCCAAAACCAGGTGAGACTAACCATTCAGCTTGTAGGGGGTATGATACATGTATGATACACCTGACAATATGATGATGATGCTGGCATGATGATGGTGTTGTAGTGTAGTATACTAGGCACTTCAACATCATTAACGACGCATGTATAGGTACACACAACATCGCTAACAACCACAATTACAGTGGTAGTTGTTGTTGTTGCACAGTCCATGAGAGAGACTGCTATGCCTCTGAGTACGGTACACAGACCGCCAGCTATGCCTCTGAGTATGGTACACAGACCGCCAGCTATCCCTCTGAGTACGGTACACAGACCGCCAGCTATGTCTCTGAGTATGGTACACAGACCGCCAGCTATGCCTCTGAGTATGGTACACAGACCGCCAGCTATGCCTCTGAGTATGGTACACAGACCGCCAGCTATGCCTCTGAGTATGGTACACAGACCGCCAGCTATGCCTCTGAGTACGGTACACAGACCGCCAGCTATGCCTCTGAGTATGGTACACAGACCGCCAGCTATGCCTCTGAGTATGGTACACAGACCGCCAGCTATGCCTCTGAGTATGGTACACAGACCGCCAGCTATGCCTCTGAGTATGGTACACAGACCGCCAGCTATGCCTCTGAGTATGGTACACAGACCGCCAGCTATGCCTCTGAGTATGGTACACAGACCGCCAGCTATGCCTCTGAGTATGGTACACAGACCGCCAGCTATGCCTCTGAGTATGGTACACAGACCGCCAGCTATGCCTCTGAGTATGGTACACAGACCGCCAGCTATGCCTCTGAGTATGGTACACAGACCGCCAGCTATGCCTCTGAGTATGGTACACAGACCGCCAGCTATGCCTCTGAGTACGGTACACAGACCGCCAGCTATGCCTCTGAGTATGGTACACAGACCGCCAGCTATGCCTCTGAGTATGGTACACAGACCGCCAGCTATGCCTCTGAGTATGGTACACAGACCGCCAGCTATGCCTCTGAGAATGGTACACAGACCGCCAGCTATGCCTCTGAGTATGGTACATAGACCGCCAGCTATCCCTCTGAGTACGGTACACAGACCGCCAGCTATGCCTCTGAGTATGGTACACAGACCGCCAGCTATGCCTCTGAGTACGGTACACAGACCGCCAGCTATGCCTCTGAGTACGGTACACAGACCGCCAGCTATGCCTCTGAGTATGGTACACAGACCGCCAGCTATGCCTCTGAGTACGGTACACAGACCGCCAGCTATGCCTCTGAGTATGGTACACAGACCGCCAGCTATGCCTCTGAGTATGGTACACAGACCGCCAGCTATGCCTCTGAGTACGGTACACAGACCGCCAGCTATGCCTCTGAGTATGGTACACAGACCGCCAGCTATGCCTCTGAGAATGGTACACAGACCGCCAGCTATGCCTCTGAGTATGGTACACAGACCGCCAGCTATGCCTCTGAGTACGGTACACAGACCGCCAGCTATGCCTCTGAGTACGGTACACAGACCGCTAGCTATGCCTCTGAGAATGGTACACAGACCGCCAGCTTTCTACTGCTCGCCCATATTCAAAGCCTCTTAATTGCCTCGTTAATCCGTATAATCCTGTTTATAAATTGTTAATTCTGGATCATTCGCACTATGCACCTTTTAGTTATATTGTAGCTTTAATTATTTATATTTCTGCAATTTCCTGCTTTTGTAAATAATTAGATTTTTTTTTAAATATGGTATTAAATATATATAATAATTTGCATTTTCTAGTTAATGAATAGTAGCCAATTCATGTGTGTGAAGTTGCCAGCTGTGGTGAGTGGTGCAGCTGTGGTGGCTGGTGCAGCTGCGGTGGCTGGTGCAGCTGTGGTGGCTGGTGCAGCTGTGGTGGCTGGTGCAACTGCGGTGGCTGGTGCAGCTGCGGTGGCTGGTGCAGCTGTGGTGATTCCTTTAGTTGACTTCTCTCTCTGGTGTAGATATCTCCTGGTCTTTCTCCAGTTCTTATCACCTTACACTTTCTTGGATTGAACTCCAACAGCCATGAGTCTGCCCGCTCCCAAAATTGTCCTTGGATTTTGTATTCATGAGCTTTGCATCATTTGTAAACATTGACATGTACAAACTCACTGGCTGAGATAGGTTATTTTTATACATGAAAAGTATCAATGGTGCTTATGATTGAGACGTGCAGGTTATCTTCTTGAGGTTATCTTGAGATGATTTCGGGGCCCGGTCCTCGACCAGGCCTCCACCCCCAGGAAGCAGCCCGTGACAGCTGACTAACACCCAGGTACCTATTTTACTGCTACGTAACAGGGGCATAGGGTGAAAGAAACTCTGCCCATTGTTTCTCCCCGGCGTCCGGGATCGAACCCGGGACCACAGGATCACAAGTCCAGCGTTCCGTCCGCTCGGCTCCCATATCTACTTCCTCAGTGTGTTTTCTCTCAACTACATTAACTTGTATGTTATCTAGTGTTTCTTCAAGCCACTTTTCGTCTTACAACCTTGGTCATCACATTGTTCTTGTAAAGACCTTTTGATCTATCTTATTGAGTTCCTCTTCAACCTCGTAATTTTGTGTGAATATTCCTCATGTCTCAAGCTTCTCACACAGCATCTTGTATGGCTATGCAAACTCTTAGGTTGTATTTGCGTAGCATTTGCAAGGGTGTCTTCAAATTGCCACTTAGCTTCGCTCATGACTAGAATGTACTCATTTGACTATTGTGGCTCCTTTATTGTCTTCTACACACTAGAAGGTAAAGGGCCGACGACGTTTCGGTCCGTCCTGGACCATTCTCAAGTCAATTGTCTTGAGAATGGACATCGACTTGAGAATGGTCCAGGACGGACCGAAACGTCGTCGTCCCTTCACCTCCTAGTGTGTGGTCTGGTCAACATGGTTATACATGAGTTGTGAGGTACTGATGTGTGAGTGGTGAGGCAGTGGTGTGTAAATGAGGGGCTGTAAAAGTGGTGATATTATGCATGGATGGTGAGGTAGTGATGCATGAAGGAGAGGAATGGTGTATATATATATACCAGTCAGCAGAAGGGAGCGATGAGGCAGAAGTAAGGGGACTCCCCCGGCTCTGTATTTTGTTTGTCTGGTGTCAGGGTCGGTGGAGGTGCGGAAGGTGACCCATCCGCGCCACAAGCTGGAGAGGGAAGACACCACCAAGTCCAACAGTCCCTCGCTCAGCGGCGGCAACTTCCTCGATGTGCCGCGCTCAGACACCCTCATCAGCGTCTCTGACAAGCGTCCAGGTGAGTCCTTCCTCCCTCATTCATCCCTAATGTCACCCCTTCTTCACTGGGGTGAGTCCTTCCTCTCTCATTCATCCCTAATGTCACCTCTTCTTCACTGGGGTGAGTCCTTCCTCCCTCATTCATCCCTAATGTCACCCCTTCTTCACTGTTTTATCCATTCCTCTCTTGTTTCACTCTCATTATTCCCCTCTCTTGCTTTTGGAACGCGTTTACATGTACGTAGTTGGTGACCAAATCAGAGAACACTGTATAAACATCAGAGGTCCGCGGTTGTTCAACGTTCTCCCAACGAGTATAAGAAATATTGCCGGAACAACCGTAGACATCTTCAAGAGGAAACTAGATTTATTCCTCCAAGGAGTACCGGACCAACCGGGCTGTGGTGGGTATGTGGGCCTGCGGGCCGCTCCAAGCAACAGCCTAGTGGACCAAACTCTCACAAGTCAAGCCTGGCCTCGGGCCGGTGCAGCTGGGGTGAAGTTCTTGAGTTCCAAGAAGTTCTTCTTGGGGGAGTAGAAGAACTCCCAGAACCCCATCAACCAGGTATCAACCAGGTACACCAGAAGATAAGGAGACGACGACGTTTCGGTCTGTCCTCGACCATTATAAAGTCAATGGTCCAGGACGGACCGAAACGTCGTCGTGACCACCTCCAAACACGTACTTTATATAGGTCATTGTGAAGGGCATGACAATCATCTTGGTTTCCTGTTTAGTAGCTTAGCATCTTCAGCAAATTGTTCATACAATTCTGTATCCCTTCTGGTATATCATTTATGTACATAATGAACATTACTGGGACAAGAACTGAACCCTGTGGTACTCCGCTAGTAACACTCCTCTAGTCAGATACATTGTCTTTGATTACTGCCCTCATCTTTGTCAGGTAGAAAATTGTTCATCCATGTCAGCAGTCTCCCTGTCACCCCTCCAGCAAGTTCCAGTTTCCAAAACAACCTCTTGTGTGGGACTTTGTCAAAAGCCTCTGTGTCTGCCTGTCTCTTTGTCTCTGTCCTGTGTTTGACTTCACCTTGATCAATTTTACCTTTGCTGTGTATGTGTGTGTGTGTGTAATTACCTAAGAGTACACTACATACAGAAATCACAATAGCGTGATTCATCAAATGAACAAATCCACAAGGGCCGAGACGTAGGTTCGAACCTACGTCCAAGAGGATCCCAGACGGGCCTTAATCGTAGGCGTTATTACGTACGCCTTACGATTAGTTCTTATACCATGTCGTAGCTCGGTCGATTGAGGCGCGTATGGGATCCTTTCGGATGTAGGTTCGAACCCCCGTCATGGCCCTTGTGGATTTGTTCATTTAGCTAAGAGGATGAGAGTTACAGGATGAGAGCTATGCTCGTGGTGTCCCGTCTTCCCAGCACTCTTTGTCATATAACGCTTTGAAACTACTGACAATCTTGGCCTCCACCACTACCTCACTTAACTTGTTCCAACCGTCTACCACTCTGTTTGCGAAAGAAAACTTTGTAATATTTTTTGGCACCTTTGTTTCTTTAGCTTGAGTCTGTGTCCTCTTGTTTGTGAAGTTGCTGGTTTCAGGAATTTCTTTGTGAATTTGATCAATTAATTTTATTATTTTGTAAGTGGTGATCATAACCTCTTTTTCTACCATTTTCTAACTTTGGCATATTTACCGCCTCTAGTCTCTCGTAATTCTTGTTGTTCAGTTCTGGAAGCCAGTTTGTAGCCTGCCATTGCACCTTTTCCAGTTTATTTATGTGCTTCTGGAAATTTGGGCACCATACAACTGCTGCATATTCCAGTTTTGGTCTCACAAAAGTCATGAACCATTTCTTTAGTATTTCACCAGCCATATAATTAACAGCAAAGCTGAAGTTATAAAGCAACGCATACGCTCCTTTCACAATGTTCTTTGTATTCCTCTTGCGGCAGCTTACTATCCAAAACCATTCCTAGATCTTATTGGTGGTCTATTTTCTCCAATTCCACATTTCCTAACACAGTATGACATTTATTCACATTAAATTCCATTCGCCACTTGTCGCTCCATGCACTTTTTTTTATCTAAATCAATTTATAATAATAATAATAATTAAATATTTACAAGAAGGTACACTGGGTATGTGAGATTACACAAGATTGGGAGTTTTACATTCTTGCAAAGCCACTAACATGCATAGCATTTCGGGCAGGTCCTTAATCTAACATATCAGACAAGATGAAAAGGTACATTGTAGCAAAATGTATATCTACATATATCAACAATATAAATTGACATCTACAGTGGAGCACCTTCTACTTCACTGCCCTCGATTTCATAGCGCTCGCGTCAGACTACAGTGTTCCGTTCGTAGGCTGAATATTCCCCGCCTCACAGTTCCCGTTCTCCTTGACGGGGCAGGTGCGAGAGACGAAGACGTCCGTCATGACATCCTTCGCCATACCTTCCGCTTCATCCGTCATGTCCGCGGCCTGAAGAGACTGTAAAATTTGTCGCCTGAGGAGATTGTAGGGTCTATGGCCTGAAGAGACTATAGGGACCCCATCCCTTCGCTATTTCCCGGTATCGGGCAGCCGGGGCGCATCCGATCCCACGATCGTCGTCGCCCCTAAATCAACACAACAATTTATTTATTTATTTATTTATTTATTTATTTATTTATTTATGCATATACAACAACAACAATTGACATCCTGTTTTGGATAATTGGATAATAATCTCCCAATTTAAAGCTCAGTGTAGGAAACTACAAAGATGAAATTAGGTACTTTTTGGTTTTGCTTTTAAATGAGGCAAAAGTTTGACAGCTTTTCAATTCACTAGGAAGTGAGTTCCATAGACTAGGTCCCTTAATTTGCATTGAGTGTTTACACAGATTAAGTTTTAAGACACATTCTCTTGTGTCAACTGCATTTACAAAACCCTGTTCTTAAAAGCAAACCATGCTCTGAAACTCTCCCTTGACAGATGTAATAGGACCCATTATCACCACACCAGAAATAAATCTCTCTTTGATATCCCCAGGGTCAAACTTAATCTGTGTAAACACTCTATGCAAATTAAGGGACCTAGTCTATGGAACTCACTTCCTAGTGAATTGAAAAGCTGTCAAACTTTTGCCTCATTTAAAAACAAAACCAAAAAGTACCTAATTTCATCTTTGTAGTTTCCTACACTGAGCTTTAAATTTGCTCTGTATCTAGTGTTACCCAATCTCCCAATTTTTATGTTCTTAACCCAAACAACCTTATCATTGTGTTCAGTGCTGTCTTCTTTTATGTGCTAGCCATATGCTGTATTGTGCCTACCAATTTTTGTCAACGACCATTCAAGCTGTCATTGCAATCACTCTGAGCTACCTATGTGCTTTAATATACCTACAATTTTCTCTCATCTTTTATTTTTTTTTCTTGCCTTGTAACTGTTATCATTTTTTATAAATTTTGCAAGTATTTACCTACTTAAAATTTTCTTAGATTAAGGACCTGCCCGAAACGCTGCGTGTACTAGTGGCTTTACAAGATTGTAATTACTATATTATGTATCCTCACAATCCCAATGTACCTTCTTGTATATATATATATAAATAAATAAATAGATAATGGGTGTGTGAGCGTAGCATTAAGCTGCCTTCGGACATGTAATCATTCACTTGTGTGTGTTGCAGAGACTCGACGGCCGTCTATCCTACCGGTGCCGGACATGTTCACGGGCTCCAGCCTCAACATCTCTGGCCAGGAGCGAGGTAGTGAGGAGGCCTCAGGTGAGAGTGATGACGAGGTCGATGACGTCCCATGGAGGTCGCCCTCGGAGATGATAGCGTAAGTCCCCCCTCCCCCCCCCCCAGCATAACAACTACCTTTAAAAACTTGTGTAAGGAATCATTCAGAACCTTGTATACCAAAGGAAGATCCTGTGTAACACATCAACTTAGTTTTTATGATAGAGCCACAGAGATACTACAGCAAAGAGGTGATTGGGTTGACTGCATTTATCTGGACCTAAAAAAGGCTTTTGATAGTCCCACACAAGAGGCTGTTCTGGAAACTGGAACATGCTAGAGGGATGACAGGGAGACTTCTGACATGAATTAAAATATTTCTAACTGAAAGACAGATGAGGGCAGTAATTAGAGACAATGTATCTGACTGGAGGAGGGTTACTAGCAGAGTACCACAGGGTTCAGTTCTTGTAAGAGTAATGCTCCTCATCTACATAAATGATCTACCAGAAGGAATACAGAATTATATGAACATGTTTGCTGATGATGCTTTAAGCTAGTAGGAAAGATAGGAGACCTAGATGATTGTCATACCCTTCAAATTTATGTAGACAAGTCCTTTGGGCGACAAATGGTATATGGAATTCAATGTGAATAAATGCCACGTTATAGAATGGGGAATCGGAGAAAATAGACCACACACAACTTACACATTATGTGGAAAGGTATTAAAGAACTGTAGCAAAGAGATCTAGAGGTGGTTTTGGATAGTAAACTGTCACCAGAGGAACACACAAGTTATTTATTCCTGAATAAAATAATAATATTATTATTATTATTACAAAGAACATTGAGTGAAGATTATATGCTATCCTCTAACTTGAGAATCATTTTTAACCACTGCAACACGCAAGTTTTATGATTCATTACATTTCATACATGCAATAATTTGTTTGTACTAATAATAAATTCATTTATTTTTTATTTTCCATTCCATATTATTGTATTTTTGTAACGGACATTAATCTCTTTTATGATAGTTCAGTGTTGACCAGACCACACACTAGAAAGTGAAGGGACGACGACGTTTCGACAATCGACTTGAGAATGGACGGACCGAAACGTCGTCGTCCCTTCACCTTCTAGTGTGTGGCTTGGTCAACATATTTCAGCTACGTTATTGTGACTCCTCGTCTGCAGATAGTTCAGTGCTTACCCTTGATTGTAGCTGCTTGCAGGCAGGTGTTGGAGTAGTTATTTGAGTACAGGTGTTGTAGTAATGGCAGTTGTTCTTGCAGGATCGTGAAGGGGTTCCCACCCGTGTCCCCCTACATTGGTGTGAGTCCCACCCTCTGCTACCTGCTGAAGGAGAAGAAACCCCTCTGCTGCCTCCAGCTGGCCCAGGTAGGTGCTGTCGCCTTGCTTCTGCCGCTACTACTAATGCACTCTGATAATAGTATAGCCAAACAGGTCTTCCAGCTCACCGGTAGATGGCTTCATGTTGCTCATTTGCCCTGGCTAAAAGTAGGTTACATCCAAAGATAGAGTATATGAACAAATCCACAAGGACCGTGATGAGGGTTCAAACCTACGTCAGAGAGGTTTCAGACGCGCCTTAATCGGATTTGTTCGTTTGATGCATCACGCTTTTCTGATTTCTGTGTGTAATGGAGTTTATAATGTACTCCTAAGGCAAAGTAATAACATAATCATTGTAATTATATCCACTCATCATGTTATGATTCAAATGAGTAAAGACAATGTTATATTAATCTGTTAGTCATTTAGTTAAATGCTTATGTGAAGTGTGTGCATGAAAGTGGCAGTTAAATATGAATCAGTGACCTGAATTATAGACTATAGTTGAGCTCTGCAAAGACAACTGGAGCTGAAAATCTTTGTAGTATAAAACAAAAAAGTAGTGCATTCCTTCATATGTTTTGTTTGGCCTATAAATTTTTTTTGTTCAGCACTGTACGGTTTAAGAAGTGCATCCCGTAGCTGTAACATTTGAAATGTCTTAAGGTATCTTCGTGCAGTCTCATTTTAAATAATTTATAGTGGAGTAGTGGGCAGGTATATAAATTATATAGTGGGCTTGTATATAAATTATAGAGTAGTGGGCATGTATATAAATTAAAAGGGAAGATTTTTTTTTATCCGCCATAAGACCTTGCTTCAGTGAGATGATAATTTAGTATATATTTCTGAATATTGTTTACCTTACACAGAGAGTAATACCACTAACGTAACTGCATCAATGAGAAAATCCGCAGGAGCACTGATGGGGATTCGAACCTGTGTACTGGGTGTTCTGATGCACACGCGCTAGACAATCAGGCCACGACATGGTCAAAAGAATTGCAACCTTTAGTTCTTCTGAACACACGAGGGCTTCCTGAGGCTTCCGCTGAAGCCGGACCAGGTCTGATGGCGGTCTGATATCTTGCCAATTAATTAGAGAGAGAGTGAGGGAGATATAGATCTATTATTATTCCCAAGTTTTGTATCAGGTCTGGGAGGGCAGATTCACGAAGTAGTTACGCAAGCACTTGTGAACCTGTACATCGTTTCTTAATCTTTGGCGACTTTGTTTTCAATTATTAAACAGCTAATGAGTTGCGAAACATCAGGAGGTTGTTTATGACAATAACAACAGTTGATTGGCAAGTTTTCATGCTTGTAAACTGTTTAATAAATGTAACCATTATTACATCCGTAATAAAGCTTGAGGAAAGATGTACACGTTTGAAAGTATTTGCCTACCTGCTTCATGAATCTGGCCCCTGATCACAAAGTCTATGACTAGACTAGTTTGTGGACACCATAAAGGGATTACAGTTTCATGGTGCGCCTTCAAGGCGAGTATTACCGGAAAACTCCTTCAAATTGGAATATTTTAGCTAAGAGCCATAGCTAAATACCCTCCATCATGAAAGAATTACCAAGCAAGTTCATAGCAATACAGTGGCAAAAACTGTGCACTGGTTTTCCTTATTCCCGGGTTCAGGAAAGCTGCATTCAAGAACGGCAGAAATAGCCGAGGAGACGCATCTCTGCAGATGGCGGTCAGCTGTGTATAGTAGTAGTAGTAGGCAGCCATCAGTCAAATGCTGTGAGTACTACTGTACCGTAGTAGTAGGCAGCCATCAGTCAAATGCTGTGAGTACTACTGTACCGTGAGGGTCCTCCACTATTACACTGCAAATATGGAATATTGTTTGCATATAGTGCCTGAGCTGCATAGTGCCAACTATGCAGCTCAGGCACTACTACACTGCCAACCATACAGCTCAGGCACTACTACACTGCCAACCATACAGCTCAGGCACTACTACACTGCCAACCATACAGCTCAGGCACTACTACACTGCCAACCATACAGCTCAGGCACTACTACACTGCCAACCATACAGCTCAGGCACTACTACACTGCCAACCATACAACTCAGGCACTACTACACTGCCAACCATACAGCTCAGGCACTACTACACTGCCAACCATACAGCTCAGGCACTACTAATTTTGTACAAAATAAATTAGAGACTGCAAATGTTGCTACTAATCATTTCAAGAAGCTATTATCTGCCACTACGGTACAGTATTGGTATATGGAGAGACTTAGATACACACTCACTGGCCCCATCACATCAAACGTAAACACTAATCAACCAAAGTAATGTGTCAGTGCAAGAAAGTTAACCTTATCTTGAGGTTATCTTGAGATGATTTAGAGGCTGAGCATCCCTGTGGCCCGGTCCTCGACCAGGCCTCCTTTTTGTTACACCCCCCCATTCCCCCAGGAAGCAGCCTGTAGCAGCTGTCTAACTCCCAGGTACCTATTTACTGCTAACCTTGCCATTAATATTACACACTTAACTCAGAATAGCTATAAACTTACAGAATGAACTCAGAATATACTCAGAATAGCTATAAACTAAGGGTGATCAGGGGTGATCTCCGTTGATCTGGAGACTCGATATTGGAAACAATTTTGGCATATTTAATAAAAAATGAACTCGTAAGCCAGAATGGTTACAGCCGCAGCACTGTAATATTCTGTTGCTGTATTCATAAGAGTTCCTTAAAAAAGCTCCACCATCCACAGGGCCTATTCTTCCAGCACTGAAAGTGTGCACCCATTGCCAAAATGGCTATGAGAAATTGGTGTGATGATCCAGCAAGACAATTCACAGGCTGATGTTGAGTGAGATCTACCTCCCAATCCAACCCATCTTGAGGTTATCTTGAGATGATTTCGGGGCTTTAGTGTCCCCGCGGCCCAGTCCTCGACCAGGCCTCCTCCCACAGAAAGCAGCCCGTGACAGCTGACTAACACCCAGGTACCTATTTTACTGCTAGGTAACAGGGGCATAGGGTGAAAGAAACTCTGGCCATTGTTTCTCGCCGGTGCCTGGGATCGAACCCGGGACCACAGGATCACAAGTCCAGTGCACTGTCCGCTCAGCCGACTGGCTCCCGTCCTCTTAAAATTACCTCGCTTTTCGCTCGTTTGCCCGTATGGCCAAAATGGACGTACAGTAATTTGAAATACTCCACACCACAGAAGGATTCGAACCCAGAATTCTTCTGGGGTGGATTCGGATATTGGCTTGGGGACCATTCACGCCTGTTTGCATTTGTGTTGCTCACGTAGCCCCACAAAGTGAAGTGATGTGATTAAATATCTATGCCCAAGTTTACCACCGAGAGCTCTCTCGGATCTTGGATAAATAGTCTCACAACTACCAAGATTTTTGTACAGTCGTGTGGTCTAGTGGTTAAGGTACCCGGTACACCAAGGTGCATAGCGCTCCTGGCTATCTGGATTCGAATCCTTCTGGGGTGTGGAGTTCTCAGCTATAGTGTGTGTGTGTGTGTAATTACCTAAGTGTAGTTACAGGATGAGAGCTACGCTCGTGGTGTCCCGTCTTCCCAACACTTTTTGTCATATAACACTTTGAAACTACTGATGTGTAGTGTGTGTGTGTGTGTGTGTGTGTGTATTATAATAGACACAGTATATAGCAACAACTGTGAATAAGAATAAGCTTCATATATCATCTGATACATTTAAAAAATGATATAATACAATAATGGAATAATGTGAACGACTCACAGTTGATACTGTGTGCGAAACCTTAAGAGTCTAGCATGCAAACTGGCATTTACGAGAAACTTTCCACTGAGATGATGCTAATTTCCTTAGTAGGAATAGAGTGGTTGGGTTTACACAGTAGTGGAGTAGACTACTCTGTATACCTGCTGTGCGTTAGGTATACATCAGTGTATCAACGTGAAACCATTACTAAGCTTCGAATTACAACAAATTTGATGTAAAAAATTTTGACAAATTCATTCTTATTTTACTTAAAACAAGCATTTAATTGTATATTGAATGTCTTACATCACGAGGTAGTCTTATCCTAAATTGTGTTTATAAATCGTACTGTAATTTGAAGCTGAAGAGGTGGGTTTATTTTTATTTCCTGTGTAGTGTTAGTTTGCCTAAGGTAAACAATGGCCCAGATTAAGGAGGCAACCACCTTAGGTTTAACCACCCTGAGGCAACCACCCTGAGGCAACCACCCTGAGGCAACAACCCTGAGGCAACCACCCTGAGTCTAATAGCTGTTTGGGTGGAAGACTGTTCCTGAATGTTGAGGAATTTACTAACTTAGTTTCTGTTCATCTACATTGTTTATACTGTATTCACATTTGGTCATAAAATTATAGTCACAGGATTTTTTTGTTATTCGTTGTTGGATGACTTATGAATTTACAATACTTTAGCCACTTTCAAAGGCAGATTTGTCATTAGTAACTGTGAGGTATGAGCAGTTGAAGATGCAGTACTGTATATTGTAAGGCAGTGAGTGGCGGTGTGGTAGGCAGGGGGGCCAGATTCACGAAGCAGTTATGCAGGTACTTACGAACCTGTGCATCTTTCCTCCATCTTTGACGGCTTTGGTTACATTTATTAAACAGTTTACAAGCATGAAAACTTGCCAATCAACTGTTGTTATTGTTATAAACAGTCTCCTGGTGCTTCGGAGCTCATTAACTGTTTAATAATTATAAACAAAGCCGCCAAAGATTGAGAAAAGATGTACAGGTTTGTAAGTGCTTGCGTAACTGCTAAGTGAATATGGCCCCAGGGGCGCAAGCCTCACCCACCGTCACGATAAATACTCTTCTGCAATATGACTTGAATGTTATTTTTGCCATGACTTGGACTGGACCTAAGAATGCGTGTCGTGTTGTGTAGATGTAGTTGTAGTTAGAACTGTTGGTAATGCTCTGTCGCTCTCTACATTCCTCCATCTTTCACTCTTTTGTTTTTAATCTGCTGTCTAGCTAACCATATTTCTTTGTCCTTTCAGAATAGTATCCGTCCTGTAAGTTTTGCATGGTGTTTATTTGTGAAGTGTATTTTATATATTTTTTTCCACTAACCAAGTCACCATAAGCTGTGTGTGTGTGTCCGAAGTCAGATAAGTAAAGTTGCCTTACTGTCGAGTGTCATGATAACCCTTACTCACAGCTTATGATAGCTGCTTGGCATATTTATCAGCAATAATTGGAACAAATGAGACATAATCCTCGTGTGCCCAGATACAGTGACCCACCAATAGTGATTTGCTCCACACATGAATCTCGTATACACATACACGCATGACTATCACAAACATGTATATCAATAGAACAAGGGGGAACGGATGGGAGCTTGAGACTCAGATGTGTCATAGAGATGTTAGAAAGTTTTCTATTAGCGTAAGAGTAGTGGGGAAATGGAATGACCTAAAGGAGCAGGTTGTTGAGGCTCACTCCGTTCATAACATTAAAAGCAGGTATGATAAGGAAATGGGCCAGGAATCATTGCATTAGATAACCAGTGGTTAGAAAAGCGGGGTCCATGAGATAGAGCTCGATCCTGCAGGCACAAATAGGTGAATACACACACACACACCTATATGTCCAGTACAGTATCAATAAAAATGGTAGTCGAGAGGAACCTCAATAGACCCGTATCATTAACAAGTATGGTAGTCAAAACACTAAAAAAAAAATAGTTAAAAGAACATGGGTAGAACACCTAGAGAGTAGTGACAATAATGGAGTCAATATGGTTTTCGAACAGGAAGATCCTGTGTAACAAATCTTCTAAGTTTTTATGATAGAGCCTCAAGAGATACTACAGGAAAGAGGTGGTTGGGTTGACTGTCTATCTGGACCTAAAAAAGGCTTTTGATAGTCCAACACAAGAGGCTGTTCTGGAAACTGGAACATGCTGGAGGGGTGACGAGAAGACTTCTGATATGGATGAAAACAATTCTAACTGACAGACAGATGAGGGGCAGTATTCAGGGACAATGTATCTGACTGGAGGAGTGTTACTAGCAGAGTACCACAGGGTTCAGTTCTTGTACCAGTAATGTTCATCGTCTACATAAATGATCTACCAGAATGAATACAGAATTATATGAACATGTTTGCTGATGATGATAAGATACTGAGGAAGATAATAGATGCAGATGATTGTAATGTCCTTCAAATTGATCTAGCTAAAATAAGTGCTTGGAGCGACAAGTGGCAAATGGAATTCATTGTGAATAAATGCCATGTTATGGAATGTGGAATCGGAGAAAATAGAACCCACACAACTTACAAATTACGTGGAAAGGAATTATAGAACTCTAATAAAGGAGACCTGGGAATGGTTTTGGATAGTAAGCTGTCGCCAGAGGAACACATAAAGAACATTGTGAGAGGAGCGTATGCGTCGATTTCCAACTTCAGACTTGCTTTAAATTATATGGCTGGTGAAATACTAAAGAAACTGTTCATGACTTGTGAGGCCAAATTTGGAATATTAAGCACTTGTATGGTTCCCAAATCTCAAGAAGCACGTAAATAAACTGGAGAAGGTGCAATGGCATGCTACAAAATGGCTTCCAAAACTGAAAAACAGGGTTAGGAGGAGAAACTGGAGGTTTTACACATGCCAAAACTAGAAGATTAGAAAAAAAGAGATCACTAACAAAATACTAACAGGAATCGATCAAATTGACAAAGAGAAATTCCTGAAACCAGCAACTTCACAAACACAAGGACACAGATTCAAGCTAAAGAAACACAGGTGCTGAAAAAATATTAGAAAGTTTTCTTTTACAAACAGTGGAAGATGGTTGGAACAAGTTAAGTGAGAAGGTGGTGGAGGCCAAGACCGTCAATAGTTTCAAAGCGTTATACGACTAAGAGTACTGGGAAGATGGGACACCACAAGCGTAGCTCTCATCCTGTAACTACACTTGGGTAATTACACATTATATACCTATATAATATATATATACAGTACATGCATAGACAGTACATACATACATACATAGTTAACTATTAAGTTTCTGACTGTATTATTTATTCAGTGATTTTGCAACTAGTATATTCTTTAGGCTAAAAAAAAATGATCAGTCGAATGTCGTGTGTGATAGGAGAGCAGACATTTGGTGGCGTCACAGTGTGGTGTGAGGATGCGACTGGCACTTCTTGTCTAGGACACATCTAGCTTCTTACACATTCGCATGACATTCTCCCCATAACCAGAGATGTGAGCACTCTACTTACACTAGTCTCTGTATAACTGCAATATTTTGGTCAGCAACTAATTTCATTAAAGTTAATAATCAGCCCTATAATAAGTGCTACCAGAAAATTGCGAATATATAGGAATGTGGAGTAGGCGTTTTGATCTCTGGAGGGTCACGAAACAGACTAGTGATTCCCCCTCCACCTGTTACAGCTGCACAATTTTGATTGCGTTTTTTTCACGGAATCCTTTGCCAACTATATGATTTTAATCCATTTGCTTTGCATCTTGCATCTGTAATTTTATATCTGATGAAGACTATTGACTGTTCACTGCAAACACCATATCCTATGACAGATGTGAACACGGGTATTATGTCCACTTTAGCCACGAAGTATTGTAGCTACTGTTAACCACGTGTTCATGTGTTGTAATTTGTAACCGAGGGTTTCACAGTTCACTTGAGCCAACATCATGACTCGAGTAGATGTATGTTAGGCACTTTGGCTTCCCCACATGCACAGAGTGCACATCACATCACTAATTACACTTTGGAAATTACCTATAAACTAGTAATCTTACAGATCACATATAAGTTAGTAACCTAACAAAGACAAAATTCTACATAGCATAATAGGTTCTGCAATATAAAAATGAGCATAAATCAGCCTTCTGCATTTTAGATAACTAAGATTTTTTGGATTGGTTTCTAATCCCTTTCCTCTGCTAGTAATACAATGCAGATGTGGTGTATCACTAGTGAGGCTACCTTGTAAAATTGTCCTGAAATACAGGTATGTATTACTAGTAGTTGAAGTAATCTGCTACCAGTAGGCAGAACCCCCAAATTTGCATCATGTAAGGCACAGTATTCTGTGTTTTTCCTAATTAACTTTTTTGTATGTAAAGTGTTTTCAAATACACTGAGCCCGTTTGGTAAAATATAGTGGAGCCTTTAATAATGTATAATTGAAAGCATCTCAAGTTGAAATATTAACAGAATATTTGCGAGTGAAATATTGTACAAAATTAAAGAAGATGAGCAACCAACAGACATGAACAACTCAAATCAAATCAAACATTTATCCAGGTAAAAGTTCATACATTCATGATTAGTTACAAATATAATGTTGGATATCTAGATAGAGCTAAGTAAATACTATGCTTAAAGCCACAAATACGCACCGTGTTTCGGGCAAGGTGTGGGAAATAACTTGGACTAAAACTTGAGTCTGAGGCTAGTGGGAGGGTACATTTTTGTTAGAAACAAAATTTACGTACTGCAGATAGCATTAATTAAATGTATAGCCTTTACAAATACTGTGCAGTATAAACTGACCCGTCAGACGTTGCTTCAGGATGCTTCTTCGCTGTAATGTTCTTTCTTGCTTGAAGCCCTTGGTGTCAGAATTATTTTGTTTGGAAATGACATATTTTACCATCGTAATATTATATATACAGTACTGTACTTAAGCCTAATTACATATATTTCAAAATTTTGCAATTTTTTTTATTATATACAGTAGTTTCTTTTTCTATTACTTCCTCCTGTATGTAGAAAAGAAGTGAAGGTAAGTTTAAGAGGCTTTGCATCAGCCCTTCAACAGCAGCAACCTATAGGTGGGGACTGGGAAGGGGGTTCACTGGGTTTATATTAAGTCCACATCTGTGTCCACTTGGGGTCTACCCACGTATACTCACCCACCTTCAAGTTCAAGTATGTTATTGAGCCAAGAAAAAAATACATCGCAAAGAGATAGAACAGCGTAGGCTGTTTCTATCCCCCAAACTCGCCCCCCCTAACCCATTGATGTCGACCCCTCATTAGTCTGGGAAAAGTGTACCTTTGCACTGCTTTGATTTTCACCAAAGCAGTTACATTTGTGTTAGTGTTTACATCATTCACATCTATAGGTAGATGTATTAGGGGTTAGGATAGGTTACCTCCTCAATGATTTATACTTGTACTCGGCAGTATGCATCATACTACCGAGTACCAGCAGTATGATGTATACTACTGGTATACATCACAGTCAGCAGTATCATACTGCTGATTGTGTTGTTGTTGTTGTTGTTGTTAAAGATTCACTACCTGGAACAAAAAGTTCCAAGTAACACGGGCTATGGTGAGCCTGCAGTGCTGATTGTGATGAAGGGGTCCAAGGAGTAGGAGACTGGTTTCACTGTTTTGTTAGTGAATTTTATTACTAGACTGAGTGGTTATAAGTGATTGAAGATGCAAAGTGGGCCTAAGGTAGACAATGAGCACTTGTGTGGGAAGAGTCCATGCACTGTGTGTAATTTAATCAAGTGAGCCTATGTGAATAAGATTAGTAGAGTTGCAGTGATCAATGGAAAGGATAGTGCAGACATAACTCTTGTGTTAATACAAGCCAATACTGGCTTTACGCTTAGCCAAGTTGGGTGGGTGGGGGGGGTTTACCTGTCGATGACTCGAAGGATCAACATCAAGCCTCCTGGTTGGTGGTTTGGTCATCCAAGCAATTTGACATGGCTGTTCACAGCCTGTGTGATCACGTTCGTTAAATTCGTGTTCGTCAAGTTCTCTCTTTAACACTGTGAGAAGTCGGCCAATTATGGCCCATATGTGTAAAAGGAGTGTGTTGAAAAGTCTTGGGCCCTTTGATGTTGTTAGTTCTCTTTCAACGTGCTTTATTGCACCTCTGCTTTTCATTGAGGTTGTTTTGAACCTCCTGCCATGCCTTTTCGTCTCATGTGGTATTATTTGTGTGTGCAGATTTGGAACCGGTCCTTCTAGTATTTTCCAATGGGTAAATTATTATTCATCTC